GGAAATGTGAACAAAACGGGGAAAAAATTTCATCGCGTACGCTGCAAAAACGGTTCGAGATACCCAAAAACTATGTATGAAGGAATTATTTCTCTTAAAATGATTTTAAAAAACCGCATAGCAACTTATCTTTAAAGGTTAAGTTGCAAGAACGAAGGGACATAACGACCCGACGTCGTAGGTAAAAACGAATTTGGAAGCTCAAAATAACGATTCTCGCGGACGAAGTCGCTAACCCAGCTAGTCTTAAATAACACTAAGATTTGTATTTCACTCTCTGTTAAGGGAACCTAATACTTGACTGTCCGTTGCCCATTAAAGATCAACATAGGACGTCATCACTTCGAAAGTCTATATAATACAAAATATGAAGGATCGCTGTCACTTATCACGAATCCATATAAATTGAATAATAGGCATCATGGAGCGGACGTCACCAATCAGTAAATTGGCACAAGTGCCGATAAATAGCCAGTGTAATGTACCGCTTAATCCAATAATACGGCGCTTCCGACACCGAAAACCATAACATTTTGAGACGGATTTGCTCACTCGAGCGTAGATCGCCTCTTGAAGACTTAGGTCGTCGCACTTGCCTTAATAGATTTCAGTGAAGACACGCTTGATTGGTTATCATTATAATTTATAGGGTCTAAAGAGGAAAAGGTAGGCCTTAGACCAAAAAATTGATAGCTTTCAAAGTAATCCTATAAATTATTGCGTCATAAATAAAAAAACCAGCTCTTTAGCAAAAGCTGATTCGTTTTGTGACCTAACGTATCGCGACTTCGTCCGCGTAGAATGGTTTTGGGTATCACATTATTTATTTTTGCAAACAACCAGCTTTATAAATTATACTTAGCTGTTACCCACGATGCCGTCCGCGTTCCGTCGTTCTTCGCTCTAATATTAAATAATATAATAATATTTTAGATCATTAAACAAAATCATTCTGATATAATAATGTAGGACATATCCTACCCGTGTCGTATTTTTTTTATTTAAAATCGAATATTAATTTAAGAATTATTCTGTCATAGATATTTCTTGGTTTCTTGAACCGTATTGCAGGACACGCAACGGAAGCCCTCAAAGATAAATAATTTTCCTACATTTTTTATCTATGTCTATATAGGTTGGAGCCTGATGTTTTGTTTTAATGATAAATGGAGACAGACAAGCTCACTTCACTCGATGGTAAGTAAATTACCTCAGCCTATAGCATCTAATGAAAATGACTGTCCACCTATTTTGGCTTTATATCACAGACTGAAACCGGAAGATGATGAAACTTCACGGCTTTTTCTTCTGTGGATGGTGGTTCGTGACCCGGACTGAATTCTGATATTCCTACCACCTATTTAATATCCAGATTTCCAGACGAAGCCCAACATGTTTCAGAAAAATTGTAAATGTATTAGAAAATGTTGGACCCGCTGGGGGTCACGACCCGTAGATTATTAATCGTACACTGTTAAAAATGTTTAGCCTAAAGCCTTCCTCGAAGTGGTTCAACTGATGGAGCAACCAATTTATGAAACTGACAAACGCTTAGATGCAGCGTACGAGAGCACTCCCTCAATCAGAACGTAAGCTCATTGCGGAAGCAGTCATAATGAGGATCGCACACGCCAGACGTGGGAACAGTACTTAGTACTTGTTTTTAGTAGTTAGTTCTTAGGAGATACGTAATCATTAATGTTTCATTCGATAATCATTTGGCAGAAGCAAATCTACTTTAGCTAAAACTACTTGACGTGCTGGTTGGTCCTGAGATAGCATAAGATGGGTAAATAAAATCGGTTTAAAAAGTAAACCTACGTTATTGAGCTACGCAAATAAGTTATATAATATATGTATAGTGGTGCACTTGTATATAAAACACTTTTAATGGTTTAAAATGCGAAATATATTTATTAATTTAATAATAAGTTATTACAATTTATTCTAACGTATGTATTTAACCACGTTAAAATAAATTGTAATTAAGTTAAAAGTGAATACTGTCTATAGTTTACGCGACTAGTACACATTTAAATAAAACACTTTAACGGTTTAAAGCCCAAGATATTAGTTAAACCGTGGTCACGGCTGCTGCAAAGCATCCAAAATGTCGGGCCGAAGATAAAAATCATTTTCAAATAAGTTTAACTAATATATCGCGTTTTAAACCGTTAAAGTGTTTTGTTTAAGAGTCAAAAGTGTTTTATTTAAATGAGTACTGCTGGCGTTAAATACAGACGATAAGTAAAACAGCATCGTTTACAAGCTGTCAGTGAAATTATTTAACCGAAACGATAAAGATATTTTAATTTCTTTTTTTTATGGTAATACGCAGGAAATTAAACGTTACGACTAACGACCGCAATGAAAGCGGGCATTTTATTGAATTCGATGTAATTTTATATTCGGATAACGGAACGGTACGGATAATTCAATCGTAATTATTAAATTTGCATGCTTGAGAATGACAATGTATGCACTCTACACATTTAAGGTGGAAAGCCATTTTCTCTATATGCGTCATCACGTGAGATTTGTGTTTCCTTTATTTATTTATTGTGTATTTGGTATACCTACAGCTAAATAGTATACATGAGTTACACATACTTAAAACTAAACATTAGCCAAACAGGATTACACAATTAGAAAAAAATACTATGGTAAAAAACAAAAAACAAGTATCGTTTAAAATACTTAAACCAAATATAGACGATATCTTATAACATGATATATACACAATATATATACTTGATAACATTATACGATAAAGTACACTTAATTAAGACTTAAAAAAACATTATGAAGACTAAATTTAAACAACAAAAAGTCTGATTAAATTGCCAGAGATATAGGTAAAGTAATTTTAATTTTAAAAACACTATCGAGACTTTATTCAGTGCCCTGCCTGGCCGAAATTAAATTTGAAATTCGAACAGAGACTCTTAACTCATTGTTTCGTAAGATATAGTTAAATCATTTAATCTGGGAATCAGTTAAATTGTGCGATCTGTATCAATATAATCGTACACATTTTATAAAAAAATAACAATATTATGACACACAAATGGTAATCAGAACTTGTTTTACCAGACGATTAAAGAAAACCCCGTGGGCGAACGACCCACGATGCAACAATCAACCGTTTTGTACTCTGCATTCTGGCAATGGCATAAACTTTAACATGTATACTTCTATACTAATATATAACGCTGAAGAGTTTGTTTGTTTGTTTGAACGCGCTTATCTCAGGAACTACTGGTTCGAATTAAAAATTATTTGTGTTGGTTAGAGCATGTATCGAGAAAGGCTATAAAACATTTCCCTGTGACTAATAGAAGCGAAGATACAGCAGAAAATTAAAAATATTCGGGGAAATTTTTCATGATTCCGAGGCGAGCGCTACAAAAACGGTTCAAGATATGCAAAAAATATGTATTAGAGAATGATTTCTCTTTAAATGATCTACAAAAAAGTCCGCGACGCTATATGACTATCTTTTGAGATTAACTTGCAAGAATGACGGGAAGGGACGCGACCGACGTCGTGGATAACAGCTTAAGTTTATAAAGAAGGAGTTTGCAAAACGAATTTGGACGCTCAAAATAAATATTCTTAGCGGGCGAAGTCGCTGGCACAGCTAGTTATAGATAAATTCTCTAATTCTTTTCAAAAACCCTTCCTTCTCTGTCTATGGGCAAATGTGTACTTACTTGGTATAGTTTTCATTAATCGTCGAAATAATCACTATCAATATCAATATTGATTATTAAATATAAAAGTAATAATAAAAAGCCAGTCGATTTAAATAAATTACATTTAAAGGTTTTATTCGTAAAGTACAGACTATACTTAAATAAACAGTAGATTTGATAACTAATTCTTGTTAATAGTTTACGCGAGTAGTACACATTTTTTTTTATCAAATAAAAGGAGCCGTTTGTGTCATCAATGATGATTATTGGTTAGATATCTTAACAAGTATGAAACGTTTACGGCTGCTGCAAAGCATCCGAAACGCCGGGCCGAAGTTAAAAATCTTTTTCAAAAGTTCTAAAATTAAACCGTTAAAGAGTTTCAGTTAAACTAATTCTTATTAAAAAATTGTGGCTCCGAAATTGGTTATTCAGTCTATTCCCCTGAAAGGTTCTAATAAATATATTGTGAATTTATGTGTCCTATAAAAACTTGCACATTGATTTAAAACCGCAACTTACTTAGATTTACTTACTGCCTCTACTATTACTGGGTTATTATGTCCATTAATTTGAATTTAATGCCCGTTGACTAAGTCCGATTCGATTACCACGCCCACGGTCAGTTACACAGTCAAATCGCACAATCAACCGTTAGTCCATAATTTAGTTCCATTTATGATAATGGGAACAATGAATTCCTATACCTTGCCGAAGAAACTTAAATCTAAAATTTTGATAATTTGTGTACGTACATTTAGGTATTACCAATGTGTTCAATAGAATCGAATCAAATAAAAAGTTACATACAAAATCACTATTCCAATCTCTTTTATTTAAAAACAGTTATAATGGGTGTTAAAAAATTATGTTGTATCAAATCAATTTTAATTGGAAGCTTTGAAAGTCGAAATGTTATTTCCACAACAGTAAGTTTACGACACGCGTAAAATTGTAAAAAACTGCAGCCATCGTTGAAAGCAACAATTACTTGAGCCATTGACAAGAGTGTCGCTGCCGGCGGTTGCATAGGCGGCGGACAGGCGCACGCGCAGGTAGACTTTACGAGAGGGAGCGAGACGAAACATAGGACCACTCGCTCTATGGGATGGTGGGGTTACAAAGCGCGGGCGTATTCGCTGGTCTGCGCTACATTTTTATTTAGTTTGTAACCGTTCTTTGATAAGGATTGGCGGTGGCTTTCCTATCATGTAAACAAATGTGTTTGTATTGTTATAGTGCAGATGGTTGACGAATTGAGACTTTCTAGAAGACATCGGTGCTGTGGCGCCTGTCGGCTGCGGCATGGGTGGACGCAGGCTTATTAAAGCTGCGGCTTTGCTCATTGTTTTGGGTTACAGCAGTTTACTTGTTTATCAAGGCGGAGTGAACTTCAATTTTCAAGACACTCGAGCGAACGTGCAAGTTGCAGAACTATCTATTGAACCTGTGACGAAGACGAATGTTTATGAAAGTGGACAGAACAGGAACATAACGTTGAGTGACATATTTATTAGTGTGAAAACAACAAAACATTATCAGTACACGAGATTGCCGATTATATTGAAAACTTGGTTCCAGTTAGCGAAGGAACAGGTGAGATTTTTATTAGTGTAACTCCCTAAAGGATATCTATGAGATAAGTTCATGTAGGAAGATTAGAGACAGTGAAAATGATGAGAATACATCTTCAAATATACCTACAATTTGGTAGCAATATGTTTAAACTAAGCTCACAAAAACTAAGCTAACAATTAAAGCTTAAAAAATATAAATCTTATTAAAATTGATTTTTTAATCTGAAAAAATAGTTATTAAAATAAGTATAAATGTATTATTAACTATAACGTTCGTTAACTTACATTAATTAAATCAAGATGGAAGCTATAAACATAATGTTAAACTTTTAAATAAATGTTAATCATCTGAAAAATGTTAGGACTTCTGTAAGTAGGTATATTTAAATGAAAAAGTGTGGTAAAATATATAAGCAGTTAAGAACAAAAAGAGTGTCAGCTTTGAATGCTGAAGGTCGAAAAACTTACCGCAAGCATTAAGTCTATGAGAATCTTAAATAAGGTTCAATAGAACATATAATTACTAAATTCCATCAGATAATTTAAAAAATATAAGTATTGAACTAAAATAGAGAGATACAAGTCATTTGTGTTAGGCCCTAAGACAAAATTAAGGGCATCTTTCGAAAGTAATAAATTCAGAACATTCTTACAAGAGTTACGAAAGTTAATACTTTTATAATGTACCGAAGAACGTCTAAATATAGTTTATCAAGACCATCTGCCGGGGGTTGATAAACCAGTTTAGTTGTCTCAAATTCCCTATCATGACACTTGAAATCATTAAAAACCAGCTCTTATCATTTGTATGAAAATCGTCAAAACTTGTCCTGTTGACGTAATCCTTTACGCAAAAAAAACGTGATTTGAATTAATCAAAGGCATTCAGATTATCATATTTATTTGGTTTATGGCTTGTAGGTATTTGTTTTAAACGACTTACACGATAATAACGTTTTTAACATGGATTCTAGAGAACCTATATCTGATGAGTATGGTCAATGTTTAAATAAAACACTTTAACGGTTTAAAACGCGATATATTCTAGTTAAACTTGTTTGAAAATTATTTTTAACTACATATCGCGTTTTAAACCGTTGAAGTGTTTTATTGAAATGTGTACTTCTCGCGTAATCTGCTCAATGTTATCAAGATTAATTGAAATTTAAAAAAAAAGGTAATTATTAGTTTATAAATTTGACGGTGAACTTAAGAAATACTTAAAGAAATATATAAGCCAGACAAAGGATTAGACACACAGGAGTAAAGTTATATTATATATACTACAACAGTATATATTGAATACCATTTAAAACTTTGCTGACGTAATTATTTTCCTATGTTTTGTGATCCCATTCACGAAATGAGTATCTTAATTTAATTAAATTCCACTATTCAGTCTTAAAAATATATAGGTATTTAGTCTTCATTAACGAACGATTCCTACGACACAGTAATCATAAAATTAGCTTATAATTAATAGCTTACACATATTTATGTGTCATGTTTATTTAAACAGAAAACATTACTAGACTTCTTGCCTTTCCCGTCGAGTTTTACGCTTATCCCTTTGTCATAATATATCAATGAATATTTTTAACAAGGAACAATTATGAGATTCTATCAAGGTTCTTTGGAACAAAATTTCTGTGACACGTGTATCGCACCACAAACAAGTTCCTTGGACTTATTGGGAAGATGGACCCATTTTTCACGGCATACTGCGACAGGAACAACGTTATTACGGAGAAATGTTCCCCGTACACATTTACCTCCCAGTGGGAGGCTTGCTTAATCGCGTTTCGTTCCTGCTTCAATAATATGTCCGTCTCATGTGAATATGAACTTTGACTCTGACTGTTTTATTTATTTAATGTATTATTAATTTTCTAACGCACGTTGAATAACAAATTCCGTCGCTACTTCAGTATTCTCATCCCACTGAGTAAAAATTATTACCTAGTTCTTTTTTTCTTCTTATGACAAACAAATTGATAAGCTTATGTTACAGTACAAATTTGTCAGTTCAGAAATATGTAGCTACCTAGTTTTACACATATTTTTCGAGTATCTTGAATCGTTTTCACAGCGCACGCATGGGAAAGCCTTAAATATTAATAAGTGTTCCCGTTTCTTCCACTTTTCCCACTGTATCTGCACTCTTATTGGCCGCATCGTGATGTTATATAGCTTAAAACCTTCCTCGATAGATTTTCTAACCATCACATTAATTTTTCAACTTGAGTACTAGTAGTTTCTGAGATTAGCGCGTTCAATCAAACAAACTCTTCAGCTTTATATATTAGTACAGATAGATAATATCGCCATAATAGTAAATAAACGTCGACACAAACCCCAGAAGCAAGAACAACAGTGAAACAACCACGGTTGTATACAGTAACCGATGGTTCTAAAATCTGAGATCGTGCTTAACCTTTTACTGAATCTGGAGCGTGCATAATCGACCGTTAATCCTTGAAGGACCAATATAACTTCCATTGTGCGCTTGCGCAGCGCGTGGCGGAGCGCGCGCGCGCCACGTGACCGGATTGTTGCCCCGCTTTCGCCCTTTTTGTGGCAAGCTCTCAGACTATTATCTGATTTATAGCCGGTGATATTGAACGGTTTCACAATAAAGGGACATATTTTTAATATTGATGAAGTATTTTTGGCCTTTTTGCCTACCGAATTTTACGAGAAAAGGTCATAACGGAGTTTATTTTGATATTTTTATATATCAGTTTTATTCTTTAATTTATAGTGTTAAACTAAAAAACATCAGTCTAATTTACAAATATGTAATTGATTTACGTTTAGAGTTAAATCCCGTTTGCACCAGTAGGGCGTGGGGCTGTTTCCCTGATCGATTTACAGGCAGTTAGTTGAACAAACTGTGCCGTGCCCGATCGAAAAAATCTATTGCTTCCCTGAAATTCGGACCCAGGACCACTCGCGTTTAATCATTTGCAATGTTAGCAACCTGTCAAATCATTTGTCTACAGAAGCGGTCTTAACTTACGCTTCAGTAAAAAATGGCTATAATTCGCTAAGTTTTTTTTTAAGTTTCTGGCATCAACCAAAGTATAAACAGATACATTTCATCGCCCACATATCGTATTCAAATTTACTCCATCCATATATCATGGTGTTGTCCGCTGACAGATCTTGTTTCCGCATATCTTGTTTCCTGGGCCTTATCACGGGCATTTGAATTTTTTATCTGAGGTGCGAGGTTCTGAGAAGACAATCTATATTGACACAAGTTTCGTAACCGACACCTTTGTTTTTCTTAAACACTTGCGTCGTGTTAACTCCATCTGGAATTAAGATAAAAGTATTATATACTGTCTATAGTTTACGCGAGTAGTACACATTTAAATAAAACACTGTAACGGTTTAAAACGTGATATATTAGTTAAACTTATTTGAATATTATTTTTAACTTCGGCCCGACGTTTCGGATCCTTTGCAGCAGCCGTGGTAGTGGAGTCTCCCCGTGACCACGGTTAAAGTGTTTTATTTAAAAGTATTGTTATTAGTGTTATTTTAGTGAAATAGAACATTTGCTATATACTTTGAAATTACAATTATTATACAATGATAATTTGTTCGTTCAAAATTAAAAACAAAAAGATGGAATTTACAGGCTACTGTTTTTTTAATTATAATTAATAGCAAATATAAGACAGGACCGAATATGAAAAGCCAAAAATAGTTCAACAGCACTTCTGTTGTGCTGTCGACCTATATATATGGCTATATACACCTAACATCAATTAGTGAACCCTCATGCTTGTCTGTGCTTCTCTATCATAACAAAAGGACCATGGGGCGTAGTAAAAAATCTATTAACTGGGTAGCTGGGTTTTCAAACCTACCAAATCCACCCTGTCAATTCGGCATTAAATTTATATAAAATTACTTTTAAAGGTTAATCTCTTAACCGGCTTGTATTATATTATAATTATATGATATATATTATGTAAATAATCCAACCTCGCTTCAATTTTCAAAATTAATATGAAACTGTAGGCTATATGTGTTAACTTAGGTAAAGGGCTCACGTTTTCTCGTGTCGAAATATTGACCCTTGATTTATCAGCTCGCCTGAACCCAGCTATGACTTATGAGGTAACCGGGCGTGGCTATCGTGATATAATTCGCAATAGATTGTCCTAATTGTGCATTTGAAATCATTGAAAAGGGCAAATTAATTCACGTCAATATTCCCTTCTAAGAATTGAATGAGACGTTTGAATTGAGATGTGGTTTTCTTGATGCTTTGAGAAAAATACATAACGCCGAGCCTTAGTTAGATTAAATTAAAAATAATTTATGTATTATAAATGCATTTTAAACCGTTAAAAGTGTTTTTTTAAGTACATAGATAGAATTTAAGTAGCACATGATAGTTTATTAATTACTACTTGTCGTATGATAAAAGTATATATCATTCTGTGGGGCATGAGTCGTAGTTGATATCAGAAAGCATCTTTGTTTTCCCACAATTCAAACCCAGGAACTCTCGTACTAAACGCAACGCGGTTAACCGTTAAGCTATAGGCGCGACCTTTTCGTAATAAAATTAAAATGAGAGCGTCCTTATTTTTATTATTATTTTATCCTTATGAACAAGCAGTGGCTAGAAATACAGTAATTAAATAAAACAATAAAACCTTTTTCATTTGTTATCTCTCGAGTGAGCTACTAACTTATAATATATTTTTTATTTACAGACATGGTTCTTCACAGATACAGACAACAGACAACATCAAGACCAGACAAGTAAGTAATCCCAGATATAGTACTATAAAATACTAAAAGTAAAACGACAAAACATCACAACTTCTTAGAACTTACAGAAAATAGGTAGTCGTAAGTTGGAAAATCCAGCATCAGTTAAATTTACTTGAGCATTTCGAATTAATCTACAAACTATCTCCTGTAAGCGCAACGCTAAGCAATTTTCAAACGAAAAGTTTGTACCTATGAGTATATTTTCTGAGAATTTAAACCCTGATTCTGATATATTCACTGGCCTGTCAATAGTCTGTCGCAATTCTCACCTGTACCAATTTTATTTATATGTACCAATGTTTCGAATAAAACGGTAAACCATCAGAATCACGACCGTCGTTTAATGGAGCGATTCTGGTGGCTAATAGGTGTAATGTCTAGCAATGTGTGGCTAGTAATCAACGGGTCGTGAATCATCCCCACCGGGTCCACCATTTTTCTAATAAATTTAAAAACTTTCTGAAACATGATGGATTTTGTCTTGAAACATAGAAATTAAATAGGTAGGAATATTTGAAAACTTTATTAATCTTTACATGTTATTGCACATGAAGGCACTATACATAATTTAAAAATCTAAAATAAATGGAAAAAATTTTCGACCGGCATCGTCAGCGTTCCGTGCTGTTAGCAACATTTTTTTTGATTTTTAAATTAGGAGGAATATCTAAATCTCTGAATTCCACATGGGTTACGAACCACCGCCCACAGATTAATAAACCGTCAAGTTTATTCGTGATTCAGTTTCAGTCTGTGGATTTCTGAATAACAGATGTAGGTCGACAGTGCATCTTGCTTAGATTTTCTACGCCATTGGTATTTCACCTACCATCGACTAAAACCCCATGCTTTTCTGACTGTTGTATATTATTATCACGTCGATAGCATCTCACGGTCCGTAAATTACCAGAATCAGGGTCCAGGCTGTTGCAAAATCCGTAAATCAAATTTGCACAAACATCCCCTATGATGTGCTATAGCAAAGTGACCGTTGTGTATATACAAATTGTGGTTAAAATTGCATTTATTTGTCCGCAGACGGTCATATGGTAAACACCAATTGCTCGGCGTCGCATCAACGAAAACACCTATGTTGCAAAATGTCCGTGGAATACGACCGTTTCCTGGAAAGCGGTAAAAAGTAAGTGCCCCTTTAATACTGTGAAATGATCTTTTCTGCTTCATAACCTGGGTAAAGTAGACTTAATGATGATATTATCCGATTATTACTGAAAATAAATTTTTAGTTCTTTAAATTGGAAAGAAAATCGGTTTCAGCGATTTCTATGTTTCTACTTTACGTAGATAGTTTATCTGTTTCGCTGAAATTTGTATATTATATATTCACTTGTTTTAAAAAATGTGTAATGTTATCGTAAACAAATGTACACGGACATTTCATTTTTCTCAGTTATTTTCTTTAATGTCAAAGTATCAAAAAAAAATTATTGTTAGCGTTTATTGTTATCTTTGAATATTTTCGTATTAATGTATACATTTAATAAACTTTATATTAGTTTAATACACTACATATTACAGTTCGTAATTTCATTTGACCGCATCTCTGGCTCAATGTTTACACAATTTCAATTAAAAGTAGATATCTATTTAAATAAAACACTTTAACAGTTTAAAACGCGATATATTAGTTAAACTTATTTGAAAATGATTTTTACTTCGGCTCGACGTTTCGGATGCTTTGCAGCAGCCCTGGTCACGGGGAGACAAATAAGTTTAACTAATATATCGCGTTTTAAACCGAAAAGTGTCTTATTTAAATGTGTAATGTGTGATATCTAATCAAGGTATTTTATGCTATAATATATGAAAGTAATATTTTTAATGGTATATTGCCTTGGGTCCAAAGTTCAATTCCTAGGTCTATAATAATATATAAGCTTGGGCGTAAGGTCTTGTAGGTTTGACTCATAAATATAATCAACTAGTAAGAGAGACACAGAAAAATCTGCCTCGTGCATGGAAATTCCATATTTACTCTTTCTAATAACTAAAGTTATTTAGATAAGACAAATCGTAGAACATTAATCAGTGCTTTCTATTTAAATAACAAAATGGGAGCAATTAAAACTCAATCAGACTAATATGGCTTAGACTACAAAGCGGACGCGATTAATCACTAGTGTAATTACAGTACGCGGCGATTAAAATATAATATTTTCATTTAATATATGCTATGTGTATCTTGTCTGTAGGTTGAGTGGTTAGTAGATGTAAAATTCGCGAGGTGTAGGTTTCGACCGGGTCGTATAAAATGTTTATTAATTAAACACTGTCTATAGCTTACGCGAGTAGTACACATTTAAATAAAAAGCTTTAACGGTTTAAAACGCGGTATATTAGTTAAACTTATTTGAAAATTATTTTTAACTTCGGCTCGACGTTTCGGATGCTTTGCAGCAGCCGTGGTCACGGGGAGATTAAAGATGGAGGATGTCTCTGACATCAAAGTAAAAAGTTGCTACGCTAGCGCCATCTGTTCCGTCGAAGTTGGTATTTGGCGAAACTGGCTGGGTCCTTGCTGAGTTGACTAACATCATTTTAAAAAATCATTTTCAAATAAGTTTTACTAATGTATCGTGTTTTAAACCGTTTAAGTGTTTTATTTAAATGTTTATCAATACCCGAAGTTAGGATTTAGGACCGTAAACATATTTTCAGACACAAAATGACCTTTTTCAACCCGCATTAGAATAGCGTGGTGGGTCTTTTACACCCTTACTTATTAGAATGATAACTGTGCTACCATGCCTAGTTAACGTTAAAACGGTGTATTCATTAAACAGACTCTTTTAAGGGTTTAACTAAATATAAAAACGCGTGAAATATTGGCATAATGGTGGCAACGTCTGGTTCGATGACCACCGTATCCAACATTTTGTAAATCAATTGATATTTTTTCTGAAACATCGACTTCATCTGAATATATTAATAGGAAGTAGAAATATCGAAAATCCGTCTAGGTTACGAATTACCGTCCACAGATAAAAAAAGCTGTCAAGTTAGATAGCGTTACGGTTTAAGTGTATGGATTTCCGAATATCCAATGCTAAAATAATAATAAATTTTGGTATTGGAAATTGGAATGGATTGGAAGTAGTTTTTATATCTACTTATTCACTATTAGACTAGAAATAAATATTAAACGCATTTATTTAAGCGAAGGCAAAAAATATTTTCCAAACAAACCATGTTGGTTTTATTCCAGGTCTCCTTTCCTTTTTTATTTTAAGTAAAAACACAATGCTCTTAACTTCTGTTTTGAGAAGCTCCACTGTGTAAATAAAATGAGCGTCCTTGTTTGTACCGCCTAATGACTGTGGTGGAGCTTTAATATTTCCATGACAAGAGTTCCTGGTTTCCAAACCAAAGGAAAAGATAAATTCTCTTACCAACTCAAAAGTAATGTTCAATTCGAACAACTAGTTCCTGATATGTATCGCAATGAAATAACCAACATTTTTAAATTTATATACATATTAGTAGATGGTAGAATTTCGTCCCCATGTGACTTGAACCAGCGCTCTTATGTACTCAGTGAGGCATATAATAAACTATACCTGCATTGTGTGCTCTGTCATCGTCAACGTCCTATAAGCCCACGTCGGGGCGGATCCCTCCTATATTCAAATACATGAGTTAATGGGTTTTTGAGAGCAAGTCCAATATTATTTTGGGCGCACGACTATTTTCACGCGTTTGCACAGGCCCGACCTATGTTTTTGTTATTCTTACCACAAAACTGTTTTCGGGTAAACGTCAACTTGGGTAAACTAATTTGTTTTAAATTTGTTAAACAGCGTTCCGGTTTTGAATAGGCAATAAGATGTTAATAGATTGGCCGAGATACATATACGCCTATAATATTAGGGAAAACGTTTTACATTTACTTTATCAAAAGGGACATATAATCATAAGAATCATAAAGATACTTGATAATAGTATTTTTACGCTGGTAGTACACATTTAAATAAAACATTCTTAACGGTTTAAAATGCCTCAGCAGCACCAAACACTTTGCAGCTGCCCAAAACTGCACAAAAATAAATCTATACTACTATATAAAGCTGAAGAGTTTATTTGTTTTTATGTTTGAACGCGCTAATCTCATTAATTAGTTGTTCGAATTAAATAAGTATGTATGTAGGTCAGAGCATGTATCAAGGAAGGCTTTAGTTTATAAAACATCACACTGCGACAAACATAAACGAAGAAACAGTAGGCTATGTGGAACAAACAGGGAAAAATAATTGTCTTTGAGTGTTTCTGTTACGTACGCTGCGAAAGCGGCTCAAGATTATTATGCCAGAAAGACTGATTCCTATTAAAGTGATTTAAAAAAAAACATATACTGTCGCGGATCTTTTAAGACTACCTTGCAAGAACGACAAAACAAAGAGCTACGTCATGGGTAACAGCTTAAATCCATGGAATGAACAGGAGTTTGAAAAAAACAAATTCGGATGCCCAAACGCAGACGAAGTCGCTAACACAGCTAGTATTATATATTCTTACAGCAATAAAATCTTCACAAAGCGTTCACGAGTCTAAATTTCATATTCACCGGAAAGTCGCACTCAATAAACGCAATCATCTTTTTATTAACACAACCGTTCTCACTTCACAGGGACAAGCGTAATTCCATTGACAGGCGTCAAACAGCATTTTTCCATTAGCCGTTTCGCTTGCTCGGCACCATTTACAGAAGGTGCTTCTGAACCTTTTACAAATTTAATAATAGTTATAAAAGTGCGCTTGAGTTTTAAAGGCCGTCTTAATTGAGGAATTGTCCTCTCTTCTTCGTTTTCAAGTGAACTTAGTAATTAGCATGTTACTAGAGATTCCTGGAAGCACTTACTTATTCTTACTTCCACGTTCTAGTCATACTCTTACGAAGATTATGATTGTTACAAAGACGACGATCTCTCTTTAGTAAACGACGTTATAATGATAATTACTGTAAATACTAAATTAAAACAGATATACAACACATTGACTGTAGAGTACGCGAGTTGCATACATTTAAATAAAACAGTTTTATCGGCTTAAAAACCTTGGTTTCGTGTGGTCGCTGCAAAGCATCCGAAACTACGGGTCCGAAAAAACAGTCTAAGTAATACAATTCGCGTTTAAAACTGTTAAAAATGTTTTATATACGAGAATATTATTTTATCACCTTTTAGGCTATGTACGCTGTCTCTCCGTTTGTTTTATAGATAATAACGTTACTTGCGCAAGTTTGACTTACACTTTACGATTTCATTGTTTCTTAACGTCTTACATCTTAAACACTGTCTGTAGTTTACGCGAGTTGTAGACATTTAAAGAAATCAGGAGACTGTCCCCCCGTGACCATGGCTGTAGAAAGCATCCAAAATGTCGGGCCGTAATTAAAATAATTCTCAAATATGTTTAACTAGTAAATATCGCGTTCGAAACCGTTCAAGGGTTTCATTTAAAATTCTTACATCTTGTGAAACCTTTTCCAACATTATAATGACTCTTCAACTTCACTGTAAACGAACTTGTATGTAAAACTTGTGAATAACATCAGCCACAATTTAAACCCGGGCCGAATTTACATTTCAAACTTCCTTCATCGGTCTCAGGTGTCTAGAATCTAGAATTGGACCGGAATTATCCCCGAGTGAATGCGGTATGATTCCTCCATTACTATTTTAAAGCGACATATATAACCACAGAATATATATAACATAATTAATTTAAGTGTTTAAAAATAACACTGTAGTATTCAAATACTGTCTATAGTTTACGCGAGTAGTACACATTTAAATAAAACGCTTTAACGGTTTAAAACGCGATATATTAGTTAAACTTATTGAAAATGATTTTTAACTTCGGCCCGACGTTTCGGATGCTTTGCAGCAGCCGTGGTCATGGGGAGTCTAAAGATGGAGGATGTCTATATAAGTTACTTATATTTTTATACTAGCTGCGCCCGCGACTTCGTCGGCATGAATAGTTAATTTGGCCATTACGTTCGTTTTTGCAAACCTCCTTATCTTTATAAAATATAGCTGTTATGACAAGGCAATCTTAAAAGAAATACATAATAACTGTCGCTAATTTTTTTAGCTCATTTAGATAAAAATGTTTCAATTCAAACCACTACTGCCTAAGATTAGCGCGCTCAAACAAACAAACTCTTCACGTTGTTCATAATATAAGAATAGATTACTGTACAGTTTTATACTGTTAAAACAGACATAAATATTAGATATTTATAATTTCTCTTTACTAAAATATAATTTTAAAGCTAGCTTAGCAATAGACTTACAATCCATGTAAGTAAGACAACATTTAAAGAAAATTGATGGTGAAATCTGAAACGTTTATCAGAATAATAATTCAATACAGTCTATAGTTTATGCGAGTAGCCTCCCCGTGACCACGGCTACTACAAAGCATCCAAAACGTCGGGCCGAAGTTAAAAATCATTTTCATATAAGTTTAACTAATATATCGCGTTTTAAACCGTTCAAGTGATTTATTTAAAAATAATAATTCTTTTTGAGAAAAGTTTTACTTAAAGTAGAATTAACGTAGAACTTGCACGTATATTTTTAAACCGTTTTTTAAACTACATTACTATCTAGTGCTCTGTGATATCTTGCGAAAATGTAGTTTTAAATATTGCCTTGAAAATCCAATTTCATCTCTTAATTCGTTTACGTTCGACCTCAGGTGTGTGCTTGGAGTTATAAAATACATTTAATGTCGCTTTATAAGAGATCCCGAGTAACAGGATAACCCGACATTCCCTAAGGGGCATTTATGTCATCTTCCTGTTGGATCATAAACTTTCTACAGCTATTATAAACTATAACTATGTACTGTGTAATATTATGTAGTTTACGCGAACCGTAAAAATTGAATTAAATACTAACTAACTTCTAGAAGTTTCAAGGGTTAAAAGATTTTTATTCTATATTTGAAATTTAAAAAAAGAACGTTCTTAGCGTTAAGTAAGAGAGATTTTAGCGCCAAACCTCGACATTAGTTTCGTTAGAAGGCTTAACCATTGGATGTATATGTCTACCCCATCCCTCTTCGTGGTAAAAATGTATTCAACATTGATGTAGATTGTAGATTATCTTATAAATATTTACTTTATTCTCTTTAAAATTTTCAAAATCATTTAGATTGGACAAAAAATTTTGACGACAGGCCAGCATCGACTCGCGCGTAATAAATATATAATGGTAACGGACGCAGACATAATATGTCCGCTCCCGTGTCTCTTGCACTTTTGTATATTAGTCTTGTATTTCCTAACATGCAGACAAAAATTGTATCATATCGCAATTTGTAATATATAGACTGATGTCGAAAAAAGACACTAACACCATAACTTGTGCCATTATAAAAAGCTTTAATCATAACTTACATTCCTCAGATATTAATTATAACGAAGTATGAACATAAACGGCAAAACGTCTAAAAGAACACTGTTGCGTTTCGCAAGTATAAACCTGATATTTATTTATTCGTTCCATAATTTCAGATGTACATTTGTCGTATACGGGCGTTAGGGATGGGCCAAGAATTCGTTCACAGTCGATAAAAACAGAAAAAGCTTAATAATTTGTGTAAGTTTTAGGAGAAACAGCTAGCTTTTTTCAGATATAACATAAAATTAAAGATCAGGTTTCATTCAAGTTAACACTTTGAACAGTGTAAATCGCAAAACTGAAAATAATTAATTGATGTCGAACTAAAAACTTGCTTCATATATATTTTGTATTTAAACTGTGAAAAATAGGAAGTCTATACAATATTCCTTGTTTTTAGTAAGAAAATAAATTAATAAATGGCTTCTAAGATAACAGAAACATCTTAGACCTAAATTAACTAAATTTTCAAACAAGTCTAACTAAAACATATCGCTTTTTGGACCATTTAAGAATTTTATTTAAACAGAATTTCCGAATTTTGCACGTAAACCGAATATTCGGTTTTGAAACCACCTGTACCATCTCTAGTACATTTCAATGCACGCGGTCTTAGTCCGCGAGGGCTCCTGTTATTTACGTCGTTCGTAATGTCAGTAAATTATACAGCAATAATAATTATTGCTACCCGAAGGAAACTGCAGCTTACAATTTAATGTACTGCAGTCAATTTCTATACAACGCCCGCAATACAACTATAATAAAAAAATAAAGTCCCGTTTCCAACTGAGGGTCAGGCGTACACACTCTGTGTCCTCCGACTACTGTGCCCTTTCCCGACCGAAACAAACGAGTCGTTTTTTTTTTCCTGGACTTATAATCTTCGTATCAAATGTTCTTTAAAGTTCCGCGTATATTTGATTTTTTAAAGGTTATCTCTGAAAATGGCTAAACCGATTTTGATGAAATTTATGTTACATTGAATATCTGATCTGCGGGTGCGATTTCTGTAGTATAATTTTTAAGAGAGCTATAAACAATTAAAATGTCATTATTTTGACATTCTTAGATGGAAACTTTTGTTTCAGGTGGTTCTGTCATTTTGATGATGACAATTATGTGAACATACCACAATTGGTGAACGTGCTACAGACCTACAATCACAAAGAGGACTGGTACCTTGGACGGACGTCGGTATATGAACCAGTCAAAATATTTAAGAAACCTACCAATAAGGTAAAAATCATTTAAATAAAAAATCACATTTGTTAAAAAAAATATTAACTGACAGGGTTCGTACCCACGGCCCCTGGCGGAACTGACTCTTTTCTTGAAAATACTTAAAATACAAAAAGATTGTATCTAAATACTGTCTATAGTTTACGAAATAGTACACATTTAAATACAACACTTACACGGTTTAAAACGCAGATATATATAGTTAAACTTATTTGAAAATAATTTTTAACTTCGGCCCGAAATTTCTGATGCTTTGCAGCAGCCGTGGTCACGGGGAGACCCTCTGACGGGTTTAACTAATATATCGCGTTTTAAACCGTTTAAAGTGTTTTTTTTAACATTTATCTTATTTTTTTACCCCTCGAGATTCTCTTATAAATTTATTTATGATTGTTACAGTTGATGTTCTCATTTTGGTTCGCAACTGGTGGCGCTGGATTTTGTATCAGTAGAAGCTTAGCATTAAAAATGCTTCCAGTAGCCAGGTATGTGGTATCCCCAAGTTCTTTATACCGCTTTCATGCTCCAATAAGGTACGCAGTTGTATCGGCATCCCGAGAGACTAAATACTGCTGATGTTCAAGGCACAGATGTCTAACCAACAGCTTGACATTAAAATAGATTATCGATACGAACACAAAGATGTGTCTGCCGCGCTCCCCATATAGGTAAAACAGGATTTTTCAGGATTCATGTATGATCTGTTCGAAAATGCAACGAATTATTATGAGGCCGCTAGAGCTAGAGTAGCCTAACAGTAACTAAAAATGTAAATCTACAAAAGCATTGTGACCGAAAATTGTTAGTATTATTCTTACACAAATAATAGTACAAATTCATTTTCGCCTAAGTTAATTGCGCATTTTTATTTTCTTCCTTATTGAAAATCATATTTTGTATTATTAGGTCACTCTGGCTCTAGAACAATATGACGATATTATCTCGTATTTTAAATTTCCAACATCTGTTAACGAGAAGCCCTTGAGAACGAGTTGATTATTTCTTGTCATCAATAGACATTGTTGTAAGTTCGAGTTAGTAAATGTTTCTTTTGTCCCCAGTGGTGGAAGATTCATCAGTATCTGCGAAGGTATTAGATTACCCGACGACGTGTCTGTTGGCTTCATTATAGGTAAGTGCTTATCAACGAAGAGTTACAACTTCTGTATTGTGTTAGACAAACACTCTATTCTTATTATTGTTGGTAATTAGGAAGATTTTATTATCATTATAGATAGGAATGTAATAAATGCGAAAGTGTTTGTCTATCCTTCGTATTCAAATAAGTTCAAAACTCAGATTTTCGTAAAAGTGATGCCATAAGTATGTATTATTGTGCGAACGATTTCTTTTATGACAAGGATGCCTGGCAGCGATATGAATTGCTCCTTAAGTTCATGTAATTGTAATTCACAAAAATGTAATAGTTGATGTTTAAAAAAAGCAGGACTGTGTTCCTTGGGTGTTCTTCTCGGTCATGTTGCTCTTTGGAACACTCTGTAGGGTAGACAGACAGAAAAACTTTTGTGATGAATCAAAATAATTTTAGAAATGTTAAAAAATTAATAGTATATTTTAATTTAGAATCGATTATTTTTAAAAGAAAATTCTCTTAGCTTTATTCTTATTCAAAGAATTTGTACACTTTCCTCCACAGAACATCTTATGAAGAAAAATCTAACACTAGTACCGGAATTTCACTCGCATCTGGAGCAAATGAAGCTTTTGCCCCCGGAAACATTCCGCAGTCAGATCTCATTCAGTTATTCCAAAATCAAAGACGAATGGAACGTCGTCAATGTTCCTGGATTTGATACGAGATATGATCCGACTAGGTGAGTTTGATAGAAGAAATCCGGCGTTCTTGGTCCCGTCTGAAACGATTCTTTGACTTTTTAGATAACTTTAAAAATATCAAAAGGTCATCACAATAATAGTGACTATTTACTTTGTTCAAATTAATTTTGAGTAGATTGTACTAAGCCTCTATGCATAGAAAAAAGTTGTTTCAAGCTATTTTATTTTCTCTCTATAATATCTTATCCCAAAATATTATACAATTTACGAGTTATAAGGTTCAGCTATTCCTAAGATTTGCTTTTAACAACAAATTTATCGAACAATTTTTATATCATAAAAGTTGTTGTATCTAATGAAAATAATTTGAGTATCACAAAATACGCGCTAATAGATCTACCCACTTTCGAGTTAGAAGTGCTGTACTTTGCCCTCTTTATGGCAAGATATCAGACTACTCTAAGATACCTACTTTTTTGCAAAATTAATAGAATCTGTTAGAATTTTCTGAATTTTTTTTATCGCCAACTTCGCGAGCGTCTGGTAGTTGTCGTATTTTCTGATTAGAAAATTAAAAGTTTTGTCTTGTTGCAGGTTCCTGTCCCTACACTGTTTCCTATTCCCACATTTCAAGTTTTGCCCGAGGTAGCATAGTGACTGACAATTTTATTATACTATAGATAGAATATTGTGAATTCTCGTCATAAGCTCGTTTGTCTTCTTCTGGTGCTTTTATGTTTGAAACTTCTTTATTGTTTAACTGAGCTTCCAATTTCAGTGCAATTCTATTTTTGTTTTGTTAATGTATATATGTATCTAAATAGCTTACTATAAACAATTGCATTGTGTAAATTTTCGTTTATATACCTAAGCTTTCAACATTGTCTCTTTATAACTATTTTCTTGTACACCGTTTGGATTTATATTATTTCTTTATCAAGATATTTTTTATTGTTATAACCGACTATGAAATTCAGCTTTTGGTTGTGATATTATGTAAATCTATTCGCTATTTCTTCATGTCTTGATTGTGTATAGTAATGTTATGGAAATAATATAGTTAAAATTCTGTGATATTAGTGTTTATTCCGGTAGATTATTGTTTTATATCTTGCATATATTTTTAGATATATTTATAAACTTCAAGTCACGTGTTAAAATATTGTTATGAATTGTTTATTAAATAAACAATAAGATGAAATAAAATCGCTTTTATTTAACCTTTATAACGCCCCCATGGTTCTATTCCTTCATCTAACTAATGGTAACAGTGCAGTGTTTATTCCCAAGAAAATATTTTCGGTCGAGCAAGGCACAGCTTATCAAAAAAAAGGAAAAATATTCCACAGTATATTTGTAAGCCACTTTGATTATACGGCATTCCAGTATAGGGAGTACTTTTAAAAAAAAATGACTGTGAAACGATCACAATATGACTCGTGCTCCTTGAAAGACGAGATTGGTTTACTGTTTACAACTAAAAATGCTGTACAGTAATTCAAATAAAGTACCTACTTGCTTGTGGACACATAGTTTAATAAAAGCTATTTTATTTATTCAGTGTACACGGCTTTATTATTATTCAATCAAGATCCTACATAGAATGAAAATCAAATGGTATGCTTAAGTCAGGCACCAAACAAAAAGAAACTTACCATACTTTACATTTTTTCTGAACTCAATATTTTACATCATATATAGTATAAAACAAAGTCGTTCTCTTTCTGTCCATATGTACGCTCAAATCTTTTTTTCGCAATTGATTTTGATGCGGTTTTTTTTATAGATACAGTGATTCAAGAGGAAGGTTTATATATCCAACGTTCACGGTTTTTCTGTAAAGTACTTAGTATCAACATTGCACCCGAGCGATGTCGGGGCGGGCCGCTAGTTGTCGTTGTAGTGTATTATTAAACTGTGATTTCTTGAAATAAGTACAGTTTAAAACTAGTTTAGTTACTCCATTGAGCACTTTACAATAAGCCTACTTTTAGGCCTAAGCTTAAGCCCTAGATTTGAGTAGAATATAGAACATCGAATTGGCACAGTCAGCTGTTTGAACAGGCGGAGCTGATGCGTCTTCCAGCGTGCGGACAACGGGGTCATTTGTCCAATGCCACTGAATATAAATTATTCATATTTAAATAAAACACTTTTAACGGTTGAAAACTATATTGGCATTTTTAATTTATTTTAACTATGACTTTGTAATAATAAAAAAATAGACGTATATATTTCGCGTCTTAAGCCGTTGAAAGTGTTTTACATGAATTTATTCTTATTGATTTAAATCGACAGCCTGCTTTAGCTGATAGTCGTGTTGTCTAGCGTTTAGCTCGTGAGGTAGTGTTCGAAATACGAAGGAATATTATAAAATTTTCAGTTGCCTATTTTTACACATATTTTTGATCACTTACTTAACAATTGTGGTTAGTATAAAAAACCAAAGGCTAAACTAAATTAAAAATATACTAATATGTCTGTCGAACAATACAATGTTTTATTTTTGTCTTTTACCACTATATCTTCTAAGAACATCAAAGGCATGGAGTTTCTTAATGTTGAATTCTCTTCTGAACCCTTCTCTTACAAACGTCCTGGTGGCTTGTTGGCTGGCTACATAATGCCTTCGACAGCAAGTGAAATTCCAAAAAAGCCAACTCATCCCGCATTAACAACCGTTAATTAAGAATAACTTGCCCGATTCCGCGTGAAATCTGTATAAAATGATTAATTAAACGGATTGATTCGGTCCATTCGATACGTGGTGTCGGGTCCGGAAGGAGTACAATCGTATTCTAATCGATTATTAAATGCAACGTCATTTTATGTAATTATCTTCCACCTATTAAAGACAGCTTGTCGACATCCTTGTACAGGTAACCAGGTGCATAGCGCAATTAACGAAATATTATCTAAAGCTTCCAAGAGTAGTACACGTTTATATAACACACTTCAACGCATAAACGCGATATATATATTAGTAAACTTATTTGGAAATAATTTTAAATACGGCCCGAAGTTTTGGATGCTTTGCAGCAGCCACCCCACGCACACGCCACGGCTCTAATATATTTCGCATTTTAAATAGTTAAAGTGTTTTAACGAAATTATGTAACTAAAATTGATCGTGAAATGTATATAGAAAAATGTGCACTCCCCTAGACGATCAACCATTTTCATAGTTAATTTCATGGTTAAAACTTCTCGCTTTGCATTACGTTAGGGTTCGAATCCCGAGGTAAACAATACCTTTATTAATATATAATTAAAGAAACTTTTTAGCCGCAATTAATTAACTTAATTTCTATAATTTCATTTAAATTACTTCGGTCGAACAGAGTAAAGAAATCTGCGTATACGTTTATCATGATCTATTCGTTAGAGTAGAAGCATGGATCGCTGTGAACGTCGGTTCAAGTCCCGTCCGTGTCGTCATTTCTTTAAATAAAAGTAAGTTTTAAATTTGTTATCGTGTGAAAAATATTCAAGTTTTCCAACTGTCTCCAAAATTGATCAATAAAACAGACATAGAAAAGTGTCCGCCCCATGGCCCACAGACACAATTATATTTTCTAAATTTGCATTGAGAGCACAGTTAAAAAAAATCAGTAGACCTTTCAAGGTGAAGTGCGTTGTTTAATACTTAGATATTCAAGGCTTGGAAGGCGCAATTCAAAATCTTGTCCCCACGAACATTGAGTCATTATCGTTAAGATAAGGATAAAGTGATATACACTTTTGAATGATCCGGGAAGTACCACACTATCTTTTGAATTTGATTTTTAATGTCATAATTTGGAAGACACAAAAGTACGGTGCGTTTGTGTTGATTTCTAACATTTAAAACAATTTAGTTACGATCTTAAGTTATAAAGGCGGGCTATGTAAGTGGAACTATTTGTAAAACGGATTATATGAATTATTGTCTTGTAGTCACTATGACCTTGTCTTTAATACCAAAGAAGGATTGATGTTAGTTTACTTTTTTCCGGTTTATCATTTTTCTGAACGTATTTATAATGTCGTCCGCGCCATATTAACGAAACTGTTCAGTTCATATTACTATGCGCAGTTAAACTGAAGTAAAATAATTTAAATAAAACACTTTAACGGTTTAAAACGCGATATATTAGTTAAACTGATTTGAAAATGATTTTCAGTCTCCCCGTGACCACGGCTGCTGCAAAGCATCCGAAACGTCGGGCCGAAGTTAAAAATCATTTTCAAATCAGTTTAACTAATATATCGCGTTTTAAACCGATAAAGTGTTTTATTTAAATGTGTACTACTCGCGTAAACTATAGACAGTATTTGAAGTGAAATAAATTCAAATAAGCAAAAAACCAAAATCGCGCTTTCAACTATTAAAAAATAATGTTTAAAATTCGAAATTTGGTCACGTTTAAGTTTAATTACGACTTTTAAACACATTAAAGTATTAACTATAATCATACTAACAAAATTGTTGACTTTCCTTTCGTCGTTATCAGGTAAAACCATACACAAATAACCGCTCGACATAGCTCTCTGTGTGGCACAATGAGGGCCCTATCATAAAACTTTCCTATCATCCCGAACTGGTTCACTAATGGCTTCTTCCTATAAACATAATTAAGCACTCAAAGGCAGCCGATTGATATTTAACCCATTAGTTTGGAAATGACACCCAATTAAGTGGACCACCATTTGTTTGGTTCTTTGTTCCCTTCTTCGTGTATGTAGGCTCGAGATAAAATAAATTGATGATTAATTCAATACGAAGAACAATTCGAACGATATAGGTAGATACAGATCCTTCAAAAGTATTGTCCCTAGTTAGAAGGAGTGTTACACGTGAAAGTAAACACTGTTAACAGTTTGAAACTTGTAACAACAATGTGTCTCAAAGAACGTGAAACGTAGGGCTTCCCAAACAACAGGTAGTTGGCAAAAATATACGATATAAAACCTTGCGTTTTATTCCGTTTAAATGGTTTCATTGGTCCTATATTTATATTGTAGATATAAAAGGCAGGTTCGAGTTTCGCCTGTTCAATGTTAGAATATCGCGTGAAATTGCGAATATTCATCTGACTAAATCTAATTTTTAAAGCGTATGTCATGTGTCTAAATAACTTTTTCCCTAATTGAATTTTGTATATAATATCCTAAAGCTGCTATCCCTTCAGAATCCATTAAAACGTGTCCAGTTGTTTTCGAGTTGATAATTTACATTTTCAATGTGTTTTTTGTGAATAAAAACGGGTTGCGTTTAACCAGAAATTAATAGATAATTAACGCCATTAAACCATTTTGAAAATGACGTTAATTACTTTTAACTAGCTTCTGTTAAAGCTTAATTAAAACCACCTTTAGATATCCCTCGGCCGACGGCGCTGATTCTGTGAATTATATTCAGAAGATATAAATAGCCCGAGCCGCCTTTGTCAGTAAAATTACTTTCTAGTTATTCAAATTACGCGATCAATTTTATGATACGTACAAATTTAAAGTGGTTAAAAGAGGCAAGAGTAAATTGTATTAATTGATTCGACTTTTAAATATTACAAAAAAAAAATGTTTTTATTACATTTTGGTGTTCGACCGTCGTAATTCAAACGTCGAATTCATTCGGTTTCGACGTTTTGCGTCATGTGGATGACGTCA